AGAGAGAGAGAGAGAGAGAGAGAGAGAGAGAGAGAAAGAGAAGAGAAAGAGGGAGAGAGAGAAGAAAGATTGTGAAGAAAAAAAGAGAGAGAGAGAAAGAGAGAGAGAGAGAGACAGAGACAGAGAGAGAGAGAGAGAGAAAGAGAGAGAGACAGAGAGAGAAAGAGTAACAAAGGGAAAAAGAGGAGATAGATGGCAGAAGAGAAAAAAAACACACGGTTAAGGGTGGGGGGAGGGGGTGGGGTGGAAACGGCTTCACCTGAAGGTTATCTCGCTTATTAGTAGATCAAATGATACCAAATTTCACACAAATAACAAGCATAGTAAGGAGTTTTAAAATCCCCCATCAAATTTGAGTAAAAAGTTTCGTTTCCATGACTACAGCGGCCATATTGGATTTTATTGACATGTCTTACGTAATGAATACCATATTCCTTTTTCATGGAAATAGTTTTGTTTGTTTTTTGTTGTTTTGTTGTGCGTTTTTGCCTACATTATATCTACACATTTTTCTGTTGAATTTTTCCTGAACGAATTTGAAGATTTTTTAAATCAATTCTTCCAGAGGTAATGTTGAAGTTTGCAAAAAATCCGTGAAAATCCACGCTCAAGACACGAAAAATAAAAGTCTATTCCATATAAATAATATAACAAATTCAACAGACATGTTTTTAGTATTACATCTTCTCTTCATTCAGTGAAAAGTTCATGAAGATTGGGTGTAAAATGGTGGAGTTGTTAAAAAAGTATAGAGAAAAACCGCGTTTTGAGAAAACGGGAGATAAGGAAAAATAAAAGATTGACTTTATGAGGAAATGGTTGTTTCAAACATGCCCAGTATTGGAAGAAATAAGGCTTTAGGGGGTTCTATGCTATGAAATAGCTGTAAGAGAGGATAAAGAAGCTAAGTATGCCTATAACTTAAAATGCATAATTTTCAGACGAATCGGAACTTTTGGGGATGTACCCCCTCCCCCCTTTTTTTAAAGAATGGGCATATTTCACAATATGATTCTTGTAATATCTATTCAACTCCCAGATATAACATGCAGTTCACATTCAGAAAATAATTATATTACAATTCCCTAACACACTTGGAAACGTCCGTATCGTGGTGGTGTTGAGGGGAGTGAGAAAGGCTGGGATGGTAATGGGATGGGGGGGGAGTGGGGGTGGCGAAAGAGAGAGAGAGAGA